TGCCTTTTTGACCGCCGCTGCACACTGCGTGGAAGTTTTCAGGGAACTAGTCACGATAACTCCAAGATCTCTTTCCTGATTTGTCGTAGCCAAATTAGCCCCCATCATACTGTACGTATAGTTGGGGTTATTTTTCCCGATGTGCATTACTTTACACTTATCCACATTAAATTTCATTTGCCATTTTGTTGCCCAATCACTCAGTTTGGTAAGATCTTCTTGGAGTCCCTCACAGTCTGCTTCCGTCTTGACTATCCTAAACAGTTTTGTATCATCTGCAAACTTTACTACCTCACTGCTTACCCCTTTCTCCAGATCATTTATGAATAAGTTGAAAAGGATTGGTCCCAGGACTGACCCTTAGGGTACCCCACTAGTTACCCCTCTCCAATCTGAAAATTTACCATTTATTCCTACCCTTTGTTTCCTGTCTTTTAACCAGTTCTCAATCCAAGAAAGGACCTTCCCGCTTATCCCATGGCCATGTAATTTACACAAGAGCCTTTGGTGAGGGACCTTGTCAAAGGCTTTCTGAAAATCCAAGTATACTATATCTACTGGATCCCCCTTGTCCGCATGTTTGTTAACCCCTTTAAAGAACTCTAACAGATTAGTAAGACAGGATTTCTCTTTATAGAAACCATGTTGACTTTTGTCCAACAAATTATGGGTCGTCTACATGCTTCACAGTTTTATTCTTTACTATTGTTTCGACTAATTTGCCCGGTACTGAAGTTAGACTTGGAATGGCTGTGTAGATGCTCACATTGTTATTTCGAAATAATGCTAGTTATCTTGAAATAACGGTGCAGTGTAGACGCACCCTAAGGCTATGTCTACACTGTACTTCTCTTGCGCAAAAACCAATGCAAATGAACCGTGAATTAGCATATTGCCATGCTTCATTTGCATAATTAATTAGGGTCCTTTTTTGCTCAAGAGGCTTTTGCGCAAAAAGGAGCTGTGTAAATCACCCTCTTGCGCAAGAGCCATTCTTCCTGAAAAATGAGGAAGACCAGCTCTTGCGCAAGAGGACGTTTCTGTGCAAAAAGGAGACGTCTACACAGCTTCTTTTTGCGCAGAAGCCTCTTGCGCAAAAATGCCCCCTAATTAAATCCCGGGCTTGATTTGCAACTTCGAATGCCTACATTA